CGTAGATATTTGGAGCAGTGATCGCCCCAAAAGTAATTCAGTTGTTTGGAATGACCCAGTTGAAGCCAAAGATGATGGCATTGATGAAAAACTCATTCAGTCTGAACGGAAAGAAATTAAGCCTAACGTKTATGGCTTTACTGATTCTTGGGGACCAATGAGTACTCAAATCAAAGAACCTCCCAAACCTATAGAAAGTCCGAAGTTTGTTGAGAAGAAACCACTGCCAGCTCCAGATTTCAATAGGTACCTATTGGAAGCTCTCAGTCAGAGTTCGCCATACACTGTGCCACCACACACAGAACCCCAAATATCTCAGACAAATACTGATAGCCTATATTCCAATATGGAATCTGTCCTTCCAAAAACCTCTAGTTCTGTGTTAGAAACAAACAACTCACCAGAATTCCTTTCCAACTTACACTTTTTGGCTAACATGACCCAAATATGTGATAGGCTGGGCCTGAACAATAAGCAATTACTTTCAGACTTACCAGTTGGTGCAACTAGTAGTGGTGTTGAAACCGATTTACTTCAACAACCACCAACGTTGAATCAAATACAGCAGAATCTGAACTGGAACCAAAAGACTACCCAGAAAGTATATCAACCGTTCCAGCCTGTGCTGCAACAGCAATCAGATTTTATGTTGCCTAACCAGTTACTGCAAACTCAGCAGCAACAGCATCAGCAACAGCAGCAGCAGCAACAACAACAACAACAACAACAGCAGCAGCAGCAGCAGCAGCAACAACAACAACAACAACAACAACAGACATCGTTTATGCCTGCTAATTCAAGCAACTTCAATCTAACTAGCAACAATGCGTTTCCAGCATTAAACTTAGATCTTAACCCTCAATTTAATAATCTCATATATCCTAACCCATTAGTGCCACCACCTAATGGTTTGTACCCCTATCAACATCAGACTAACATCGAAAGGTTAGCCAATCTATCACTAGGGCAGGACAAAATGAATTTCCCCATGTATAATTTGGTCCAGGACAAACAGACACGACTAAATGACTCGTCATTTAATTCTGTCCGAGAACCAATGAAACAATCCAAACCAGTGCAGCCGAATGTGTTCATGCCCAACACACTGCCCAACTCGTACAATTTCAACATCGATCCAACCCCTCCATTGTTTCCTGCCAACCTATTTTATGCACAGATGCCTCAAGATGTGAACTACGTGCAACCTAACCAGCAGCAGTTCCACAACTTCAAAGAGCAAAACATGCAACACATGTTTGGCAACCAGAAACTGGAGCATCAGGTTCTCAGAGACAAGATGTTGAATGTGGGCAATCCATATTTAAAAGATTAATGAATATGTAGTCTTATCACAAAACGTAATATTAATACGTCATCTAGTCAATGAAAATACTTAGGTTTTGATACCTCGGTAGCATTGAACCCCAAGTATTGTGTAAGGTACAGTGTTTTATTTTTGCTTCGATTTTTTCCCACCAATTTCTCCTAGTGTGTGATTTTTTTTTTTTGGCAATAAATACTTTCAACCCATCTTACTTCGATATTCGTATCGAATATCAATTGGGTATAAAAAGAATAGTGCAAATGTTTTTTTCTTTTTAATGTAAATTTATATTTATCATTGAGTAACCAATGTACATTATAACGAATTATTCGGTAAGGATTTTAGAACCATTGTACGAGTATATTATTCTCATTATGATTTATACATTTTAAACGACACATAGTTATTGAGCCGTATTATAATGTTTTTTAATAGGTAAAGTTTGCTAATAGTAACAAACCGTCAACAAATTTCAAGTAATAAGAATTTATTGATAATGCCCATGGGTTAAGCAATACTTATGACCCATGGGTTAAGTTGATCGTTCACTCACTGGTAATTGTAACTTTTAAGGTCTATACTGCCTCTAATCTATTAATTTATGTGATTAAACAAAATCTACAAATTCAATTTAAAAAAAAAAAAAACATTTTTCACATTATGAGGTATTAAAATGGATATAATCAATGGTATAATTAAGTACCAAGGTTCTTTTTGAACTATTAACATTTGTTTAAAAAATATTTTCAATTCTTATTATTTTAATGTTGTTTTGAACTTCCATACTTATCTTGATAGTTACTTAGTTTAAAATAATACCAATATGAGATGCATAAAACAAAAATTAATAAATTGAATTGGCTGATAATTAATGGTTGCTCCTTAAATTATACAAAATTGTAAAAATATCTGAAGAGTTGTAAATAAAACCGTCGACAGAAAATTTAAGCTCCAAGATAGTTGACAACATAGATATATATTATATAATCGTACAAACTATATCAAATGTCTATTAAGTAGGTAGCGTAGCAGGTTCGTCATTTTGATCAAGTAAGTACCATTCAGGCTCGGCTTATTTTTTCAAAATAAATAAATAGCGTTCTGCAAGTCTGAAATCGAGAATTCATAACCAATAACCATAGGGCCAATATACAATTATAAAGTTAATTTTGTATTTTATATTAAATAGTTGATACCTAGCTACCCAAGTACTTAATAYAGACCAAGAGCCCTATACGACAGTCATCAATGATTAAGGAATTTTAATTTTGCTAATTTCTGTTTAATTTCACTGCACTCTGCTACTCTTGTAATCTGGTCTATGCCCACCTCGATCACCAGTGTCACCAATTTATATTCTTKAAGGGGCACATAATATAGTTAGGCATTTGGATATGGTTTGCGAACCATCAAAATTTCTGTGGTTAGTAAAAACCAATGAATCAAACTAATAATTGATAATCACAGCATTAAAACTTATAATATTTATCAATTATTTTCACTTATTTTTTAACTGCGGGCCGGATGCCTTATGGCCGAAACCACTCAATTTATTGACAAATTGATGTGCTAACCAAACAATCTAATTCACTGTTTGTTATGTTTAATAGGTATTATTGTTATATAATATGTATTATTGTCTTATACAATATATTATCGGTTAGACACACTATGTACATCATATTTGTTTACAGATTGATGATACAGTTATATTTATATCAATTGCGCTATGACCTAAAACACAATAGTGTATATATTATGATGTTTTTGAGCATCGGATTTACATTATTCATTTAAATCTATTTTTAAATATACATTATTAAATGAACGCGTTGAGAGGTATTTATTTTGGATTATAGGCAGGATAATACTGCGTCACGGAAGAATGAAAAGCAGATCCCGCGGCGTTGTCCGTTCAAAACCAGAAAAAAAAAGCAGGATAATACTAGGACAATAACGTGTATGTAATGTATTTATACTTATAATTTATAAAGCTATAAAAATCCTGGAAAAACAATATGTTCATTTTTTACAACGAATAGTAGTCAKTGTGGGACACTGTTAGTGCCTGGTTTTATAACACTATTTTAATCCTAAGTTAATATTTTCTTATTTAAAAATTAAAAGTGATTAAATATAATAAAGAAAAGTTAAGACTTTAAAATGGATTCTTCTAGCAAAAGTGTTTAGTATTTAAAAAAAAAAAATCCGAATTCAGACAAAAGCAATGAAACGCTAATATATCTTCTGTTATAAATTTACAAAAATTTAGTTACCTCAAGTGAAGATGAGTGTTCACTCAATATCAATTATTGTAGTGATACATTTAAAATACAAAAAGATGATGTTTCATGTTTGTGTTAATGTTGAAGTGGTCAGTGGATGACAGAAGATACTATTTCGGGTCCCTATCACCCTGTATTAAAGGTAGGTAATATTTTAAACAAAAAGTTAAAATATTATTATCATGACAAAATAATTTAATTGAATATTTTAGAAATAATAATTTTTTAAGCTATATACATAGTTGGAACAGTATCAAACAAGATGCTGTATTTTGCTCTTATTATCGATTATTTATGCATTAATCAATCTTAATTTTACTCATCCTTTTTTTTAGATAATTCATAAGCTGTATGGGTGGCAATTATATGTTCCCATAAGTACCTTATTTTGCTATAAAACATACATTTTTAGGGCTCCAACCCCCCTCCCCCCCATTGACTGAAAGGACTAGTTACGCCTTTTGCTATGTTACACACATGTAACACGGAGACACCACGTGTTAGTCGTATCACTTAAGACRACGCTATTACACAAATTTGCTGTCTCCGTCTTACAAATTCACTAGTTATAACTCAGCAAATGTACGCTTAGAATATCACATTTAACTCWGTTATTTTAAAAATTAGAGTAAATTGACCTATGAACTTGAAAGTTGAAATATGGAATTATGGTTCCTCTAATGCTCTAGATGTGCTTGAAAATTTCTTATTCAGTTCTATAGCAAAGGCACCATTTGGCACTCAAAAAAATCATTGAGTTATTCGAATAAGTATTATTAATACGAAGATTATCGATTAAGCAATTTAAAATATTATTATTATTTATTCATTAGAGAACTTTCTTAAAGATTACCTGCTGGCTATTCATAATTGAATAAGCACAGTTGGCATAGGTAGCCCCTCCCCCCCCCCTAAAGAGCTAAGTTGCAGTTTATACCTCATCGTCATATTATACCCACGATTAAACGCAGGTGGATAACCTATCTGATTATACTGCTTACATTTTGTCCTTGGATTGCCGACTTAAGTAATTAAGTTGCACTTAATTTGATGTTCATTTGAGTTGACTGACTAGTGGGACACTCAAACCAGTTTTTTAAATTTACATTTTTTACATACAAAATTGCACCGGATGCAGAGGCCATGCAAAGTATAATGAATATRATATACCTATACATTTTTTTTTTAACAAATCTTTGCCCGGACAAATACTCTAAATAGGAAAATCATTTGTTTATAAATATTAAATAAGAACATTAATTAATATACTAGATATATTTTATTATAAAGTATAACTTTCAGTAGATATTTAGGTAAAAAAAAAAAATTTATATGTAATATCTAATACATTACAAAATCAATTTTTTACAGTAGGATTATTAAACATTATTTGAAACCTTAAATATTAATAACTAATTCAAGTAAAAGAATATGTTGATTAATTGGAAATAATGACATATTTATTCAAACAGATTAAAAAATTAACACATTCAATGTGTCATAGTAGTTTATTATTTAAATGCCTACATAGAATTGTGTATCCGTTTTTGTAGAATTTATTTTGACACCCTCAATTTGAATTACTTGTTTCTTTTGTATTAAAATTAYGTGGAACAAAATTGTTTGTTCGAGTAGGAGAATAATATTGAAATGAGTTATTCATGGAGTACTGTACATTTTTACAATATTCATCATAATATACCTGGTCCTTTGTTTGTTTGACATCACCACATAACCATAGTTCAGAAGAGTGAATGACCGAGCGTGATATTAATACTATCCAATGTATATGTTGAAAGTTATCGTTAGGATAATCAATAGGGCCACTTTGAATAGCCATATAATTATATCTTTTGAAGCCACGAGCTATGTTTTTGAATCCATTTTCTATAGAATTGTAGTATGCACTTTGAGTGGTAAACATACAAATCACAACTTCATTCTTAAYGTTGTAACTTATTATTTCACCAGGGCAAAACTTTTTATTTTTGACATCTCTTAATAAACTACAAACAAATCAAATACAAGAATTTGTTATTTAATAATTCAACAGTTTTAATAATATTATAATTTATTTAAATTATCTATTCCTAAAATTACATCAACCCCTATGCTTGAAAAAATATTCAACTTATTAACTTCAAAAAATATAAGAGGATAGATTAGTTCACCAAGATAGATAGGTAATTATTGTTAAAAAAAAATAATAATAATGATAATAAAACTGATTAGTGAAGATGTAGGTAATGCTAATTGTTTTTAAAATAATATTCTACAAAATTATAGAAAATTTGAAAATTATCGATTAATTACAACCTGTAATGAAATTTAAATAACTGCTTCATTAAATCCATACACACAGCAACAGTATCAGTAATATGCAACCAAAAATTGTATAACAATACCGTGGCAGAAGTGCAGAACAATCTTGAAACTGTTATGACAATAAAATGTTTTCGCCACATACCTATACAGTGTTAGGACCTTAAAACACTTGAGTTTATTTAATTGTTTAAACTTTAATGAATAATGATACAACAATGTAGGGTGTCTTAAATAAATATCAAACATAATATATGGATGTATGTTATATACAGTAGAAACCGTTTATAATGACACCGGTTGTAGTGATGTATTGGGTGTAATATGACCTTGGATTAAATGTCCTGACAAAACTCCTATATTGTATGTGCCAATTTCTATCGGTTGTGACGTCTATATAAAATGACTTTACTTTATCGAAGGTGCATACCATAACAACGGATAATACCAATAACTTCAGCGTTGTTTAGTCGTCTGTTTTATTTTATTTTATCGTCAGTGTACGGGTAATCGGCGTGCGATTAAATGTGTTTTGTGTTTATGTGTTAAAATTTGTGAAATTGTAAAAAGAGCAAACAAAAGCAATTCACAATTGAAGAAAAAGCAAATGTCCTTTTTCGTTTAAAAAAAGGTGAACAAAATTCCGACATAGCTAATGAATTAGGCGTAGGTAGGTCACTCTACGATTTCTAAAATACCTATGGAAAACTCGAGACAAAATCGAAAAAGAGTTTCAAAATGAAATATTATCCGTTAAGAAACTTAGATATTGTACATAATATACAGATTTAGATACTGTTTTATTACGATGKTTTAAAAATCAAAGAAATCTATGCATTGATGAACCAACTCTTCATAAGAAAGCCAGTGAATAAGCTAAAGGCCTTGGTAAGCATGATTTTAATTTTTCCACTGGTTGGATTCAAAGTTATAAAGCTAGGCATAATATTGTGGTTCAGCAATAAGCGAAGAATGAAATTCAGCCAATACTGAAATAACACGATATTGGCTYGAAAAAGTATGGCCTAAATTACGAGAAGGATACAAAGATGACCAAATTTATAATGCAGATGAGACTGGACTTTTTTACAGAATGTTTCCTAACAGCACATTACAATTTAAAGGAGAAAAATATTCACATGATAAAATGTCTAGAGAACGCCTGACTGTCTAAGTTTCAGCAAGTATAAGTAGTAAAAAATGAAACTGATCATAATTGGAAAATCCTGTAATCCACAATGTTTTAAAAACATCAAAAGTGACTGTCTACCGGTAACATATGAATMAAACTCCAAAGCTTGGATGACTGCAGAATTATGGTCTAAAATTTTATTAAATTGGGATTTAGAGTTGGGAAGAATAAAGGAAACATTTTACTCTTCATTGACAACTGTCCAGTACATTGCACTTTAGCATTACGTAATATTAAACTTATATTTTTACCCATTAATTGTACATCTGTTCTTCAACCAATGAATCAAGGCGTAATAAAACGTATGAAAACTTATTTTCGAAAAAGTTTGTTGCTAAATATGATCAATAATATTGAAAACAAAACTGAAACGAATATCAGCGTATTAGATGGTATATTACTGATTTTTAAGGCTTGAGAAAAAGTGTCAAAGATTACAATTCAAAATTGTTTTSGTCAGGCTGGTTTCAATAATGCAATATCACAACAAGCGGTCCAGGGAGAACAATAAGAAGACATAAGTTTCCCAAACATAAATGAATATGTCAACTTTGATAATGATGTGCTAACTTCAGAACCAGTWAGTGGTCAAGAACTCATTTATTCATCATTGATTAACCCTCTCGATGAAGATTTATCTACAAGTGTAGTGTTCAATGCGGCATAAATGTTGCCTGTTGGCAAATTATATGACTCTAAATAATATAAGTCCTAAGATAAATTTTGAAGAACTTGAAAAAAAATAGAGCGTGATTATTATACAAACAAAGTTCAATCTAAAATATCAGATTTTTTTAAATAATAATTGAATTAATTAATTTAAATATGTACATAAATAAATAATTATAATAATAATAATATGTATTGAAGTTATATTTTTTTTTTTGGTCCTCTGAAAGTCATTATAAACGATTTTTACTGTACTTATATAACAGATGTATTCAAACCGTGTCGTGTCTCCCAGACTCCCAGAGTCGTCGCTCAAGTTTGCGAAGAGAGCCGATTCAAAGCACCGTAAATTAACATTAATGTAGGTCTTGTATAATTATTATGAATATTATTTTTGTAATCCTTATAGAAAAGATAGCGAAACACATCACGCAACCATATAAAGTTTTATTTCTAGGACTAAATACACCGTTACTCTCAACCATGTTGGCCATCATATTGTATACGTGTGTTGATTCAATTTTATCATGATAAATTGGAAGCCGTCAAAATGTTGTGATCACCCAAAAGAGTTACGGGATGAAAACGTTTGAATACCTCTGAAATACAGTAATAAACATAGGCCTAACATAA